ATTCTCAACAACAATAAAACAACAGCAACAACAGCAACAACAACAACAACAACAACAACAACAACAACGACAACAACTTATTATTATTATTATTATTATTATTATTATTATTATTATTATTCACAACTTTATTCTCTGCCGGTACTTGGTGCTCTGTAATCACCAAAGGCCAAGGGGTGAAATCCGCAGCACCAACCCGCCACGGACCCCATGGTACCGACGGGCCGCCGCTGCACCCTTGTTTGCCACCACAAGGACGGTGAGCTCCCGCGGGTCAGAGCCGGCTGTCGCGGGCTCGTCGCCTGCCGAGTCATGACTGTGAGCAGTTTCCAGGCACTTTTGGTCATATCTATCCCGCAAATTAAGTCATCTGTCTAACAGGCTTGTGTTAATGAAGAGAACATTTTCCTCATCCCTTCCCCCGCCAGCACCAATCGTTGACTCGCCTTTATGAGGACAAATTGTGTCTCTGCCGTACCGGGAAGAAACGGCGCCGCAAATTCGCGAGGTGCCCGACACAAAAGTTCTCGGCTGAGGCTGCCTTTCCCGGGAGAGGGGCGACCCGAGGGCTGTCCGCGCCCCTCCGCGCACTCCGCGGGCGCAGAGAAATGCGTGTGTGCGAACTTAGGTGAGCGGCGGTGCTCTCGGTTAGAGATGGAGGCAAAAGGTACCCCAGGGAGGGATTCCAACAGCCCTTCCTTCACTCGGTCCGGTGGCCTGCTGGAAACTGCTGCTCAGCGTTGGGTTTCCTGCAAGCAGCGTTTGGGGGGCAGGAGCCGTCAGCTCCGTGGATGACTTTCCCCCACCCTCTATCCTCCCCTCTGCTCTTTCTGAGCAAAGCCGGCGGGGCACAGCGAGGAGAGCAGCGCGGCAAGAAGGTAGAGAGACTACGCCCTCCGCACCTGTGCGTGCGAGGGGAACAGGGCGACGGCCTTTCCCCTTCCCCAAGAGTGACTGGCTTGCAGCAGGCAGCGGAGAAGGGGCCGCCCAACCTTAACCTATGCCGACCGCTGAAGATGAATTCCGGAAGAAGAGCCTGTGCCTGCCGCAGGAAAACCGGGACAAAACAAAACACTTAGGGAGAAAGATTTTGGCGTAGCGCCATTTCTCTGCCCCGGTTTTTATAGCTCCGTTATCTTCTTCTCTCCCTTCCACACCGCCCCCCCCGCTTTCTTTCTCTTTTGGAGGTGGGGGTGGGGTTGTGGGGAGAGAAGAAATTCTGCTGAACAGAAAAGCCAAGCCCGGGAAGGAGTTCCTTTTGACTGCTCAGGGTGATCTATCCAGGCCCTCTAATTAGAGAGGGATCCAGGGTGGCATTAGTTTCCAAACATTTTAATCGAGCTTTAAGCAGAGCTCTTTTCAATAGCAGGAGATAAATGTAGCAACTGTTACCGTACCCCTGAATGGACACCTCCCATGGCGGGCATTCAACTTCCCTTTCAGAAACCCTAAGCAGTTTAGTCTATGGACCCAGCAACACTCCGCATATCTTCTAATTAGTCTAATTAGAAAGGTAGATTGATAGATACAAGGAAGACACAGTTAAGTTAAGAAGATGCTCAAAGCTACCAGTCTGTGCCGGGGAGACGCTTGTTCTCAGTGTGAGGAATAAAGAGATAAAGGGGAAGAAAAAAAGAGAGAGAAAGAAAAAAGAGAAAGAAAGAAAGAAAGAAAGAAAGACAGAAAGAAAGAAAGAAAGAAAGAAAGAAAGACAGAAAGAAAGAAAGAAAGAAAGAAAGAAAGACAGAAAGAAAGAAAGAAAGAAAGAAAGAAAGACAGAAAGAAAGAAAGAAAGAAAGAAAGAAAGACAGAAAGAAAGAAAGAAAGAAAGAAAGAAAGACAGAAAGAAAGAAAGAAAGAAAGAAAGAAAGACAGAAAGAAAGAAAGAAAGAAAGAAAGAAAAGAAAAGAAAAGAAAAGAAAAGAAAAAAGATGAATTCCGGAGCCTGACAGGAAGAACAAGTCCAGAGAAATCCGACGGGATGGAGCTGCTGTCTCTTAATTGAAGGAGAGACATAACTGAGGTGCTTCCCCTGGCTGAGTTTTTCCCGATCCAGGCTGGAAGCACTCCTCGCTTCACGGCACAGCCCCGGGCCGGGACGCCCCATTGGACACAGCTCGACCCCGCCGGCTTTTTCCTGGGACACGAGGCCCTGGGTTCTCCCAGATACAGAGGGGAAGGAAGGGAAACAGGAGGGGCCGAAAAAAGGCCGCCTCAGCCCATCGCCTCCCGTGCTGTCGCCGGGGAGACGTCACCCGCGGAGACCCGTCGAGGGGAGGCGGCACGGGTGGCTCGAGGAAGGCTGAACCTTTAATTGGGCGATAAATCAGGGAGAGGAGCATAGGGCAGTGCGCGCAGGTGTCAAAACAGAGGAAAAGTCGGCCGGCCAGCAGCCCCCTCGCTCTCTCCCCCGTTAATGTCTCCGCTTTAACTCTCCTGCCCGCAGGCGGGAGGGGAAGAGGAGAAGAGAGGGACAAAGCAGAGCCCGCGGATCTTGAGTCATCTCGGACCACGGTGGGGAACGGGGCTGCACGTGTTGTATTCTACGCTGTGTTCCGAGCAGGCTTGTGCACCTGTGGGCCTTCTCTTTCTCTTTCTTCTGCCAGGCCAGTACAAAAACCAGCAAGAGAGGCTTGGGAAATGTCCCACCTCTCATGTCGGCATTCTGTGGCACTCCTCTCCGTCCCACTGTCTTTGCTCCTTCTGCCCCTACCTGCCTTTCTCCGCACTTGCTCAATTTCTGACAGAATGAGATTACGGAGCAAATTACGAACTATTTCAAATTCAACACTTATCTCGGAAAAAGGGTGTGTGTGTGTGTGTGTGTCTGTGATTACAATCCAGACTGTCAAACTCCCTAATCAAACCGCTGGCGAAAGGGGATTCGTAGACAAAAGGAAACAATGGAAGTCTCGTTAGATCATTTTTCTGGACATTGTTTATGGTCTGGAAGGGATCAATCGTTTCAAAATGTTACGAGTAAAAATGATCCTGTGTGGAATGCAGCTAATCCTTTTAAGTTCCTGTCAACTGTTTCCACTCAAAGAATCCGATTTTCCAAATCAAAGGTGCAGAACTCAATTGCCGAGGGATTTATAGCGTCGGCACCGGGCTCCCCTCACCCCACACGCCCCCGCGCTCCCCACGGTGGGTGTCGACGGCAGGACAGGACTGGGCCGAAGGTTGTCCTCGTCGGGGCGAGTTATGAACCCGGAGCGCTCCGTCAATGGCAGCAGCGGTCTGCCCTACCGGCGGGCGGCCGAGACAGCCCTGCGAGGACGGCAGCGTACCTGGGGCCGGGAGGAGGCACAGAGCACGGTCCCTCCTGCCGTCTGCCGGCAGCGCCCCCGGCTCCGCCCCGGCACGGCCGCGGGGTCTGTGCCGCTTAACCGGGCGAGCCACGCCGTCTCGCAGCCGCGGGGGCAGCAGCATCTCCGGGACCGGACTCAAAATCTCTTGTGGAAACGCTACCTTTGGCTTGCCCATGAGTGTTAGCGATTTGTTGCGGACTCCTTCTGGGTGGGGAGGAGGCTGGAGGGGAAGAGAGTCCTTTTAAAAGCAAAAACATCCACTCCACACCTCTCGTAGGTAGCCCCGCTCCGGTGCGCGGGACGGGGCATCTGCCTTAAAGGCGGACGGGCGGAACTGGGGATTCCACCGAAAATCGTGCCCCGGCTGGCAGATGTCTGAGCACCAGGAGGAAGGACATCGGGGTGGAAGTAGCGCTGAAAGCGATTTAAAGTGGTTAATCTTCATAGAAAGCCACCCTTTGGCTTCTCATACAGAAGTGAAAAGTAGAGGGAAAGGTCTGCGGTGTGGCGTTAGCGGGGCCTCCGGCTGCCTAGCGCTTGTGCAACACTGCGAGAGTACACACTGCGTGCGCTGCCCCAGAGGCAGCGCCGTCTGCACGGAGAAAGACAGGTGGTACACACTTTCTCCGTGCGTGCAGCGCCGTCTGCACGGAGAAAGACAGGTTAAGGACTTCCATGAAGAAGGAAGGGATGTTTGACAGAGCCCAGCGAGCAGCCCCAGATGGCACTTTGTGCAATCAGAGGCAGGCTGGAAAGAAAGAATAAATTATTTTTTCTATGGTCCGTAATTTCTGATCCCTCCACTTCCGATCAAAGTCACCTGATATATATATGTGTTTCTCCTCGCTCGGCACTGGACACCTTTTTCCCTTTTTTTTCTCCCTTTTTTTTTTTTTCCCCCCCACCAATGGTTTTTTTGTATATATCTGTTCCTCCTCGCTCGGCACTGGACACCTTTTCCCCTTTTTTTTTCTCTTTTCTTTTTTTTTTTTTTTTTCCCCTCACCAATGGTTTTTTTGTAATCGTATATTTATTCGAAGAGGCTGTTCGCTCGGCACTGGACACCTTTTTCCCTTTTTTTTCTCCCTTTTTTTTTTTTTCCCCCTCACCAATGGTTTTTTTAATCGTATATTTATTCGAAGAGGCTGTTCTTCTCTGCCAATCCCCCTCCCCCCGCCCTTGTGCAGCCGACAGGTGGAATTTCACTGTATACCCGTATATTAGAAAGCTATCTGTTTCGTCTGGTTGTTGCTGAATAAGCAGATGTGACAGTGTTTATTCAACGAAAAGAAAACCCAGGGAAGTCACCTCATTAATCTTGATTGTGTGTATTTAATGTATCTCGTGTATACAGGTGTGCATGTACTCTTCTGCAATGAAACTAGAGAAGCAGTACTACGGCCACTGTGGCACGAAGAGGCATTCACAGGTTTTAAAAGGACTTGCCAAAGCCTGGGCATTAGCAGGAGCGATGACCGCAGTGCTGCAGTTGTGCGGGCAGTGGGTGGTGGTATCAGCGGGTGCGAGACAAACACTCCTAAATGGTTCACAAGAGTTTCGGTGCACTCATGGTTTTACACTGCACTCAGGGGACAGAAATGACCGTAGAAAAGGCTTTCCCAGTCTTAAGAAACGAATTAATGCAACAATAGAATTATCTAAGTATCCGTTTGCTTTAACATAAATTGCATAATGTATCATCTAAATATGGGGGCCTGCAGATTTCTGCATGCCGTTTCACTGCATCAGCGAAAGGGAAACAGAATCAATTCAACAGGTCTCCTGTGGCTTGAAGGAAGGGAAAGTTTAATTATTTAGATTAGAAAAATAAAAACCCCACAACCTCAAATTTCCTTCTGAATTCAGTTCACCGGTAGAATTTCTGAAATTGACGAGACACCGCGCGAAAAAGAAAAAGGAAAAAAAAAAAGAAAAAAAAAGAAAAAAAAGGCCCCTTTGTCCAGTCCATATGTTTTTGTACATTTTGGGCACTACGGTGCCTAGCCGATAGGCTTCTCCATGGCGCAGAGCGCGGCGGGTGCGCCTCTCTGTCTCTCACTGCGACAGCTGATGGAGCAGGAGCGCTGCACTAAGGGCACGTCTTCGTACGCTATCCATCTTCCGTGGGCTTCCCGGGGTGATTCCCGCCGGGACGCCGCCGGTGCCCCCCGCTCCCACGCGCGGGCTCGGCCGAGCGCGGCCGCGGCCGCTCTGCCCCGCACTGCGGCCGCGCACGGCGCTCGGTGCCCCCCGCACTGCGGCGGCCGGGCTGGCCGCGAGTTTGGCCGAGGGCTCCCCGTGCGTGCCTTCCCAGCCCCGCAGCCTTCGCCTTTGTTGTTTTCGGTCGTGCCGGTAACCGAGCGGCGAGACGAGCCAGGGCCGGCTGCCCGCAGTGTGCCTCCGGGCGGGACTGGCGGCGGGGAACAGAGTTCTTCCTCAAGTGAAAAACAAGAGGAAGAGGTTTACCGACTTGGAAATCGCGCTCATTTCTCCATCTCTCCCCAAAATCGGCGGGCAGCCATCTGCACAATGAAGCACCGAGCACGGTTGTTGCCGCAGCAGGGATCCGGCAGCAGCTTGTTACCTTCTGAAGTGCCATTCTCCTGCACACACGTACACGCACTTCTGCGTGAATGCCTCCTCCACGTCCTGGTCGTACTTTGCAGCGCAGGAGGGGGCAGCGAGCAGAGACCCACCGTGCCTCTCACAGTGAGGGTTGCAAAGGAGAAAGGACTTTCGGAGAAGGGTGAAGAGACCACGCAGTCACCTGCAGCAGGTTACTGGGGCTTGGAGGTGAGGAAGAGTGGAGGCGGACACCTACCTGGTCAGGATATACCCGGCTGCGGGCACAGGGCAGCCGGTCCCCGCCGGTGCTCGGGTTCCGATGGTGTGTGCGGCCGGCCGTCGCCGAGGGAAGCAGAGGAAATACCACTGCAGGTGGGGGAGCCACTGTGAACAAGCTGAAAAACGGATCTGCATTGGTTAGCAAGTTCCAGAGCAGAAAGGGCTTGGCCAAGATCATAATTTCCATTATTTCTGTCAAATGCAATATTATCAGAGACTACAGCAGTACTTACTGTAAGTACTGAGGGAAAGTATTACATACGAAGTGGAGTCTCCGGGCCGTGCCAAGAGACAGATCCACTTTCCCACAGATCCCCCGAAGAGGCCTCAGTCTCTACGGGGGCGACCATGCGCTCTGCCCTCGCCACTAGCTCTGCAAGAAAGGGAGCAGCTGAGATCAGGTGAGGGCCTCGCTCCCCTCTTTCGTCTTCCGGACTGGGTGATGTGTGCTGGACCTGGGTATTTGAAACCAGTCTGCAAGCACGGGATGTGCACCCCGCTGACCCCAGGAGTGCTTCTCATTGCACCTAAAATACAAACGAGATCGAAGGTGTGGTCCAAAGGAGGTGCGGGTGGGAATGGTTTGGGTTGAGAGCAGTTTCAGGGCCGGGGAGCTGTGCACGGGAGCCACGGGTCTCGGCCGGACCCCCAGGCTGCGCAGCCCGTCGCAGCCCACGGCGATGTCGACAGAGAGGGCACGATGACCGGCCCCTCTGCACAAGGCAGCAGGAGCTCTCCACTGGAAAGGGTGCAGTGTGTAGACGTGCAAACTAATCGTATTTGAAACCAGGGAGGGAAGGGAAAACCTCTTTTATAGGGGATGTGGGAAGGGACCTAACACAGTCCTGTTTAAGAGAAAAGTTATACAAGATACTTGAAAAGAAATAATTTTTTAAAAACCTAATTAAAAGTATATAAATCACCCATCAGAAACAAAGAACTATGTGGAAGGAAACGTTTCTGGATAGAGACACTGTGTGTGGCATAAAAGACGATTGAATACATAAGGGCTTCATTAAATTCCCAATAGATAACATTTGGCTAAATCTATCCCTAGATTAAAACTCTGCATAATAGCACCATAAACGAAGAAGTTTCTTTTTGTGTGGTCCTTCAGGATGAACTGATTGAAACATTAGCCCCCTCATAGAGCAATCCCCTCCCAATTCAGATCCAGTAATTCGTCTCTCAGCCCTACGGGGATATGATGAGCAAGGAGACGGGTTAACGAATCCACACTTTGGGAGGAGGAGGAGGCGACACTGTACTGCATGTCTTACCAGATTGTTTAGGGCCCAAACTATTTTGGAAGAATTGTTCGTCCGGGCTCGGTCCTTGCGAGGACTACACTGTTAGCTTCTCTGTTAGTCTTGGAAGCCGCGGAGAGCACGGTGGGCCATTAGCATGCGAATGGGGCGCTGCGGCCCGGCGGTGCCGCCAGCTCATCAAAGGGCTGTGGGGCCGGCTCCTTTTCTGGCAGCACCTGCTCTGCGGCAGCAGCGGGGAAACAGGGACTCTCGGGACCGGGACCGAGGCCGGCGGCTTCCCCGCCGACTCGAGGAGCGCAGGCAAAAGGTCCTTCACCAGGACACTGGACCTCTTACTCGACCCCCTTTTCCTTACGGAAAAACAAAAAAAAAAAAAAAAAAAAAAAAAAAAAAAAAAAAAAAAAAGAAAAAAAAAAAAAAAAAAAAAGAGAAATCTATACTACCTACTGCAATTTGCTTCTGTCACCTTCCCTAAGCAAATCCCAAGGGAAGGTCTTGGCAACCGGCGAAAAACGTGGAAGGAACAAGTGGCCAAGCAGTTTGCTTGCCATAAACCTCTGAGGAGACCTGAGGGACGGGCAGTGGGCACACTGAGACCCCACTGCTCACCGGCGTGGGCCGGGCTGGGCTTTGCGTGGGGGAGGTCGCCGGGCTCCCCGGGGTCTATTGCGGAGAAGCCAAGAGAAACAAACACAGTGTGGGTCGCCGGAATCTACCCTCCTCATGTAACTGCTCGCGGAGATCCCTAGGACCCGAGCAGACACAGCCCAAACTGAGGGCCAGCAGCATCCCTCCTCGGGGAGCCTCGCACCGCCGCAAGGCCACAGCTGCCTTCTCTCCCGGAAAACATTTCCCTGCTTGATTTTATCTGCCTCTTCGAGGGGGGCCTCAGCTTAGCTCGGTACTCCGCGCTGCACCGGCCCGTGTCGGCCCGGCGCATCCCCCGGCCAGTCCTGGGGAAATTGAATTAATCGATCTCTCTTGAAAAAAACTCACTCTCCCTGGAGAATAGGTGCACGGTGCCTCTGGGGTATTTTCCCTTTTGTTTTAGAAATTAGAAGGGACTTTGCTTCTTTTTCTGCTGAGGAACCCGGAACACCCAAAGAGGCCTGCTAGCTCCAGAGTGTAAATGGAGCCTAGCAGAGATCTTATGTCCTGTCTTTCTGCTTTTGGAAACCCACTATTTTAACACAACATTGCTACAAACAAAATGGAGAAGCACCACCTTTCTATCTACGAGAATATTTAAAACCCAGGCAACAAAATACTTCTACACGTAAAACCCCTCCTCACTCCAAAGAGCACTAAAAGGCATCCCTCCCTTTTTTTCTTTTTTTTTTTTTATTATGAAAATTCACATATTTGATCCCCGAGACTCCTAAATTGTTATAAATACAGTCGTAGTTGAAAAGTGCCTCCCTGGTTTGAAAAACGTATATTCCTAGTCCACAACAAACATTCACACGTCTACTCTTAAAACACGCGATTCTCTTTTCCAGATATAAGCTCTGAATATTTGAGGCCGGATTTTTGGTTAAATTTTTTTTTAGTCTATAAAATAGATATCTATGGATCTTAAAAACGAATGTTTGGAATCAGAAAAGCTGCTTTCATGGTTGGTTTTGTACATCCTTACTTCGACAGCTTATAAACTTAATCAACTCGTCACACGAGGATATTACAAAGCGCATTTTATATTTTATGTATTGAAAAGTAGAAACACATGCCACTATTATCATCATCACAGAAACATAAGTGTCTAGAACAAATCTCTCTTAAGTTCAATGTATGCCCTTCATTAGTAGTATTTTCCTTTGGGCCTCTTGGAAACCAAGCTATGATGCATTTGTGATTTAAAACACACCCAAAAGTATAAAAATAGTTTTAAACTGGCTTTTTTAATCAATCCCCTGATTGGTGCCTTGCAGAACTGGGCTTTACTCCCTCCAGAGAGACCTATTTCTATTTATCCCCTCTTTCGTTCCTGCTGTTTTTTGTGGAGTGTTTTTTTGTTTGGTTGGGTTTTTTTTTTTTGTCGGGGTTGTGTGGTTTTTTTTTTTTTTTTTTTTGATTGTTTAGTTTGTTTTGGGTTTTCTGTCATTCTTTATCTGCTAGGGTTAACAATGCATTGACTGCAAATATCGTATTTTTATTTTCTTCTTTGCAGTCAAATCTGCACATAATAAATTTCAAGCTAGAATATTCCTTGACTATTGTGCTATTAATCCCAAAGAAAAAAAAAATCAATGTCCCAAAAAAAAAGGAGAAGTGCTAAGGAGGGAAGGATCCAAAGCCAGTTGTTTGGCTGGGCTCCTTTGGTCTTTGGGTTTGGTTTTGTTGGTTTTTTTTTGTTCTGGTTTTTTTCTTTTTTTTTTTTTTTTTGAAAATTAAAAATTTTATTTTTGAAAATGTGTAAAAATTTTACATTAAAATGGTACAATAATACTTGCCAGTAATTTTAACAATATTCCTTGTAAAGAATACGCATAAAGTACAAAATAAAAAACTCCGTAAGTCTATTATAATACAAAACACAGGTTAAAATAAGAAATTATAATCTTGACTTTCTTCTGTGTAAACACGTTAATCTTTTCTTTTATAAAAGTACATGAGACAAGTGTACTAAATGAAAAAGTATTGCTCTGCTGTCCTCCCTCAAGCCTTTTTTCTCTCCTGTACATTACTGTTTTCAAGCTTCTAGACCTGAGAATCTCTGAACTTTAGGTTTAGAGACATTATTTATCACCGTATTTGTTTCTTTTTAAGGAGTAGCGAGTAACTTTCCGATGTAGTGACCGCCTGCCCGTGCAGTATCTAGATCTACACCTGGCTTTGCACTAGTGAAGGTCACGGGAGGTCCGTCGCTGGCGGCGGACGGCCCCCGAGCCCCATCACAATTATCCCCACGCAAAGACAGGCAGCCCCTGCGGGCAGCGTCCGCCGGGCGTCCGAGCGGCGGAAAAGGAGATACCCCAGATCCTACCTTCGGAAAGACTCCCAAACACTTAACAGTTAGAGATCCGTGCCGCGAAGCCGGGGGTGGCGGGCAGGGCGGCGGCGGGGGGCAGGCCGCTCCCGGCGCTCCCCAGCGAGCGGACCAGCCCCGGCGCCGCGGTCGACTGCGAGGCGCAGCTGCTGCCCGCGCCGGGGCCGGGGCTTCCCCCGATGATGCTCTCGATGGAGAAGGGCGAGCGGGCCAGCGCCGCCCCGCTGCCGGGCTTGGCGGAGTGCAGCGAGGCCGCCAGCGCCGGGCCCAGCGGGTGCGCGAAGCCGAAGGGCGTCCGTGCCAGCTCCGCCGCCGGCAGCAAGGGGCCCGGCGGCGGGGGCGCTGCCGGGGGCGGCAGGGGGCTGGCGGGGCGGCGGAGAGGGGTGGTGGAAGGCGAAGAGGGCGGAGTGGGGGTGGTAAGGCTGGAGCTGGAGACCGTAGCCGCAGCCGTAGGGTCCGTAGGCGCAGGGCGGCTGCTGCGGGGGCTGCGGCGGAGGCTGCGGGAGGAAGGCGGCGGGGTCCACGGCGCGCAGCAGAAGCTCGGGCGCCGGGAGCTGCTGCCGCTTGAAGCGCTTTCGGCGGCGCAGGAAGCTCCCGTTGTCGAACATGTCGGCGGATTCGGGGTCAAGCGTCCAGTAGTTGCCCTTGCCAGGATTGCCGGGCTCCCGGGGGATCTTGACGAAGCGACCGCGGCAGCAGGGCGGCGGCGTGGAGGTCGCCCACATCCTCCTCGTCCTCTTCCTCGTCGTCGTCCTCGTCCTCCCGGGGGATCTTGACGAAGCAGTCATTGAGGGAGAGGTTGTGGCGGATACTGTTCTGCCACGCAGGGAACTTCTCCCGGTAGTAGGGAAAGCGCCCGCTGATGAACTCGCAGATCTCACTCAGCGTCAGCCTCTTCTTGGGGCTCTGCAGGATGGCCATGGTGATGAGAGCGATGTAGGAGTAGGGCGGCTTCACCAGGCTGTTCTTGCCGCCGCCGCTGCCGCGGCGGGTCCGTGGCTCCTCGTCGTCCTCCTCGTCGTCTTCCTCGCCCACCACATCGATGTCGGTCTCCTCAGCCAGAGTCGACGCCTCGGACATCTCCGAGCTAAGGGTCATGGCGCGGCGGCGGGGCAGCGCATCGGTGGCGGCCGGCGCGGCGCGGCGGGCGAGCGGGCGCTTTCGCCGCCGNCGCTCCGAGCCGCGCCGGCCCCCAGCGCCGCTGCCGCGCCCCTGGAGCGCTCCCGCCGCCCGCTCGGAGGCGGCGGCTGGTCAGGGTTTTGTTTCGGGGTATTTTTTGCTGCCGTTTGGATTTCTCTCTTTCTCTTTTCTCCCCTTCCCTTCCCCCGTTTTGGGGATATTTTTCGGGTTTTTTTTCGGTTGGGATCAGTTATTGTGGGCGCAGGGAGATTGTGCCGTCTCTCCTGGAAGTCAGTTTCCCCTTCTTTCTCCTCACCTCAGCCCCCAGACATTAATGGATGCGGGGCAGGAGGGAGCGCGCCTAGTCCTGGGAGGAGGAGAGGGGAGGAGGCTGGCGAGGAGGGAGGGCGTAGGGGATGGCTTGCTGGGCCTTAGGAAACACGGTAAAAAGGCTGGGGCTTAGTCCCAGGGAGGGCAGCCTTCCTCCCCGCCTTATAGCGAGGGGGCCATCACATGGCTTCCAGCGTCAGAACCTGGCGAGTCTTCCCCCCCCTCACCCAGCCAAGAAGGGCGCCTCGCCACCGTCTGGGCCCTCCCGGCCTCACTCCATCCAGGAGGGGCTCCGGGGGTGCCGCGGGGAGACCGGTGCCTGATTTAGTGGAAAAGGGGGAAAATAAAGATAACACTTGACCTCCCTGCGGGGGAAAAAAAAAATTAAAAAAAAAAAAAAAGTACAGGTCTGTCGCAAAATGTAGGAGAATCTTAACAGAAACCCTCTGGAGGGTTCTAGGAGCTTCGCATCTTCCGGGGTTGCCCTCAGAGACGGGGTGCTGCTTCCCATGGGAAGGGAAGGGAGAAAAAATCAAACCGGAGAGGGAGGTGGTGAGTTAATAAACTTCAGACTTCTGTCCTCGGAATGGTTGACACACATCCTTCCCTACCTCTCCCCCATCATCCTCCAGAGTTTCACTTACTTTAGAATGAAATAAAATATCTCTTGCTGTCGACCTCACAAACTAAAAGAACAGCCTCCAAAACACACCACTATTCTCAGTTTAATTGTAAGGCTATGGTTATTAAAGAGAGAGAAGCAGTTCCCTCCATTATGAGAAACACTAACAGAGAATTAGCGTTACTTCCTTTGTATGTAAAGGAAAGAAATTCACCGGCCTTTAGAATGGGACTTTCGCTTTAAGTAGGAGCAACACCCATGAGAAAGCGACAGAGGACTGCTTGCTAATTTAGTGGCACTGTTCCCCTTTTCAGGTGATCTATTATACGACAGAAGACCGGGGCCCCCTTTACGTAAGGGCTGGAAGGGGAAAAAAAAAAAAGAGACAAAAACTCTACCAAAGATCCCAAACAAAAAAACTCCCCCACCCCCCCCCCCCATTACCATGGCCTTAAAAAGAAAGGCTTTGAAAAATCCCATCTTTCCCAGTTCTGGCAAGATAAACTGCAATCAAGATCCGACTGGGATAGGGGTAAAGGAGCATTTCGTTCTTGGGCAGAAATCGTCGTGAGAAGGGCAGACTGATGCATAAAGTCTCATTGATCAAATCTCGCTTTGCAAACAACGTACACACCCTTGAAATACGTTTTCGATATACTGTCCCAACCCAAAGCTACAAGCCACCCTGTTTCAAACCAAGTTCCATGGATTTACAACATAATCCTTTCTACTATTTCCAAATAATCCTATTTACATTTTGTTCACTACTAAGGCGCCTGCAAGACAATACCACCAAAAGTTACAAAACGGGGCGGGGGGAGGTGGGGGAAAGAAAAAGGAAACCCTCTAGACCCAGCAAATGACTATTTTTTTCTGCACAAAAATAGATATCACTCGGATTTACAGTTCCTACTGTTCACAAAATCTCTCTTCGAATTAATTTTAAGGTCATCGGGAAGCTACTAAAAGAAAGGCAAGATTTTTTTGTCTTCAAGAGGTTTCTTATCTTTACAAAGAGTTGCTATTTTATCCTTCTGCTTCCTTTTCCCTCCCCTTTATACTTCCTCTTCTCCTAGCCTGAACGTTTATCACAGTCATTAAAAAACCACGCTCTTAAGTACGAAGAACGGCGAAGTTTAAAATGCACGGGGAAGAGCCACTGCAGCGACACACCAGAAGAGCCGGGGTCTGCCCTCGATCCTCCGCTGGCAGAACGCACGGGTGTTTCACCGAGCGTGCGACCCCCGCGGCTCCTCGACAGCACCGAGCTCCCGCGAGCCTCGGCTGGCGTGCGGGTCTTTCTGGACGTGGCCGACCGGGGTGCCGTCGGGGGGTGGCATTTCCCTTGGTAAAACCCGGCCAGCGGCGGGGCCGCGGGCTTTGCCCTGTCCCCCGCCTCGCGGTCAGTCCCGCTCCGCGCCGCTCCGCTCCGGGCGCTGCTCTGCGCGGACGGGGGATGCCATCTACCGGCAAGGAGCGCCGGCGGTGGGACGCCGTGTGCGGGGCAGGGGCCCGGCGCCACCTCCCTGTCCAAAGCAGCCCCCGAGAAAGGCAGGGTCCAGCAGGAATCCTCCGCCCAGCGACTGAGCGAGACCCCGAGACCCTAAAGAAAAGCAGAGTTTTGGAGCCACTCCGCGAACTTCCTGGACCACCTTACCACCTCTGTGATGGGGCTTTTGCCCACACACACCCAACACCCAAATGACCACCCTTGACCCAGGATCTTGGGGGCTGTCTTCTATGGTTTCCTGCTAGTTGTGAATGATCTGATATATCATGCATCTAAAACCACAGTTGCACAGAAGCAGGATGAGAAATGCAGTTAGTCAGCTAGGGTTTATACTTTTTTTTTTTTGTTTGGGCATATTAAAATGAATAATAGGTTTTAAATTATTATGAATTGTAATTTTTGTTATATATTATACACACAATTCCTGCACGCATATACAGAACATCCACATTTTACCAATGCAGCCCAGGCCTTTATTAAAAATCGAAGATTACCCTGGGCACTATACAGGGCATTTTCAAGCAGCCACACTGGCATGCTGGCTGCAGTGCTCTGAGTTTTCTGGAGCTGCAGAACTGGATTTTTTCTTAATGTATAGAATCATTTTTTTAAATAATTTACATTTTCTGTGAATGTTGTGTTTTGGGCCAAAGATTGGACAGAATTCTGATCTGCTTGTGTCATAGAATGAACAAATGCTCCAGCAATGACCTTGCAAAAGGATGGTGGACAGTGACAACTGTCTTCTTTGCCCAGTGACTGCCATTTTATCTCCACTTTTTTGGATGTTTATTTTCCTCTACTCTTGCCACACAGTTTTGGGGAAGGTAACACTACCTTTAAACCTTCTGCAGAGGCCAGGATTACAATGTGTGTGTGTGATCACAATGCATTGGAGAAGGCTGGCAGCAGTCACCTGAAAAACTGAAGAAAATCTGGGGTTCCAACTATGTCTACTGCTGAAAAAGGGCTTATCATCCTTGGAGGTGATCTCCCCTCTACTCCTGTCAAACATTTTTTTCTTCTTGACCAAGTTGGGTTTGTTTAATTGTTTGTTTGGGTTGGATTTTGTCAGGGCTTTGTTTTGTTTGTTGGTTTGATTGATTTGGGCTTTTTTTTTCTTCCTTGTTCTACAATTCTTGTGGGCCACGTACATTTGTTCTGACAAGTGAAAATTACTATCTTTAAGGCCCTTTGCCTTTTAATTTCTGTAAAATGTGATTTAATATTCTCATGATGTTCTGATCTTAAGAAGCATTTTTACTACGTTAGACCAAGACCCATCTAGCAGCATAAACTGACTTCAACATCAACTAAGACCAGATGTTTAGGGAAGAATATAGGAACAAAACAAGTGTGTAAAATTAATTCCTAGCTGCCAGAAATGCAAGTTTCAAGCTGTTCATTTGTTTGCTTTAAAGCAGAGATAACATCTGAATTTAACAGCCTGTGAGAGAATTTATTCCATTAACTTATCCAATCATTTTTTAAAATCATGTACATTTACACCACTAAACATATTCTGTGGTGAAATGCTCCTAAGCTTTAACCATAAGTGGTAAGAAGTGTCTCTTTTAATTTGCTTTATTCAAGTCACCTGCTCATTTAAATGTGACACACTCTCATTTTTTTTAATGGAAGAGACAAAGAAAAAGTGTTGATAAACACTTTATTCCTGTTGCTCATGACTCCATAGATTCATTGGTCACCTTTTTTACATGCTGAGGAGCTCTCCTTCAGAATCACTGGAGTAGCACAGTGGTGATTATGTATTCCTGACAATATTTGTCATTGTCTCCACCTTTTTCCTTGTTCAACTCACCCCTATTATTTTCTTAATAGTCCTTCAAAACAGCATGAGATGCTTAAATATGCTTTGCCAGTTTTAATTCCAATTTATTATTTCTACCCCTTAAAGCCAGTAACTATTTCCGATGCTGGTGGAAGGATATCAGATTTACAAAATAAAGCACTGGCTGCTGGAGCAGAGTGCTTCTCATATGAACAAATCATGCTTGTTTAGGTTACCTTTAATTTCATAACTTCACCAACTACTGAAAACCTTTCTATAATTTTTCATATAAGCCTTTCTTTTTTTTTTTTTTTTTTTTGTTGTTGTTGTTGTTGTTGTTGTTGTTGTCTACAAGCTTTAGCAAACTAGGAGGGAGATCCCATAATTAGTGTCTCAAATATTTGAGATATTTTCCATTTCATTCTGTAGAGATGGAAGTAAGCCCCAAAGGAGTACAAATTCATTCATAAATTCAGCGAATATTGGCAGATATATTCTTTGTTCACTTAGAAATCCTTGGGGATAAGTTGTATTGTGATCAAAGACAAAGAAGATTAGTTTTTACATCTAGAACTTAGTGGGTAATGGGCTCCTGCCAGGACATCAGCAGAAATAGCAGCTAGCTGTTGCAGAAAGAGGAAGGCCTGTGCCTTGTTCAGCCTTTCCACATCTTGCCATGTATGGTCACCACTTTCCTCCTGCTGAGCACCAGCTGGACCAGGAGGTCTAGAAAATCAAACTCAAATCCAGAATGAATAAAAATTTTGCAGCTGCCAAGGCATTAATCAAAGATA